TTTTGAAATGTCCTGCTTTGTCGAGATTGATTTGTTCAAACAGCCAGACTTCTGGTAAGAAATTAAGGACTCGTGGTTTTAGGACTGCATTGGTCACGTTCTTTGCATCTGAATTGGAATCCCGTGGATCCATGGGCGAAGTAATGTCCGCCCAATCGTCAAAATCAGCCTTATCAGTAGTTGGGTTAACATGGGCAGTTTTGCTATCAGACGATTCCATAGCGGCCTCTGTCACAAGCAGTTCAGTGAACTCTAAACCGATTGCGTTGAATAAGGTCTTTGTGTCATAGATGGACTTGTCGTTATGAAAGGAACGCCTGTTATTTTGAAGCTCATCGGTGTACTTGTTTAAGTCGACCACTGTCGCCTTAAATTTCTCAGAATTCTTCATGGATGTGTCCGTGAGACTCGTGATACACGTGTTGTCGAAACCGTAAATATCAGAATTTTGGGCGGTTGGCATGTTGAGTTGCAGCCGAACTCTTTCTCCCGGATATAGTAAGTGCTAGTCAAAGTTGTTACTGGTATGTTAATTCAAACTTGACTCATATATAGCAGGTGTCGAACAGACTTTTAGATTCTCAATTTCCAGATAATCAGAAATCGTTGCGTAAGTAAAATCATGAATCACCGCGATGACATATACTACTGCGCTGAGTGTTGGTCCAAAAGTGGAATCCATTTCGAAAATCGCTTCATTCATAAATATTGGCACGACATCAGTCTCGTTCGTTCGCTCAAGCATTTCCTGCGATCCTCTTTGGTCATTTTATTTATCATTAAAATTTCATTGAAAATTCCAATGCAATGCTCTGCCATCGAACCCTGCAGACATTCGATCTCTTCCAATTCTCCGGGTTGAAAGAGCGCATTGCAGGTGTATCCCGACCTCGCAGGTTTCAGGACTGTGGTCCGTTGTGTCCGCACGCCACGCGATAGATAGTCAAGGAAGAGTGTTTTCCCTGTCAGTGGCGCATTCGCCATGATGGAAAGGTTTAGCGTCCCAGCACAATGTACAGCTGAGTTGCCGTTTATGCTTCTTACCTTTAAGGCCAGATAAACCTCGGGTATCCAGCGTCTTAGTAATGCTGACCGGTGGTGCTGCCAAAAGGAATGCACCATGCGTTGTGTGGTTTCGTTGGAGCTAGTCATGATTCTCCAACGTATTAGTTTCACTTGTACCTGTAGGTCGTCTTTGCTGTCTATTGGTGGCAGAATAAAGGAGACATCACCATTGGAATTCAGCTGTGATTGCGTGGAATATGTGTCTGTATCCATATGGACAGTCAAATTGACGATCACGGAACCACGCCCTGCAACAGCGTTTATCGGCGATATACGCACCTTGCCGTAAATGGGCAAATGGGGATGATAGGTTCTGTCTACTTCTAGCTCCAGTTTGGGGACACTAATTGTTGCCTGACCAAATTGTGTCACAACAGAGTCCGCATCCCTGTCGCTGATTTTGACGGTGAAGCCGAGTTTGTGGTCTTCCTCCTTCTCAACCCATCTTTCAGCATGTTGCATAAGCGATTTCAAGGAGAACATCCCGCTTACGCAGCCTCCATTCGCTGCTGTGCCGAAAAGTCTGCCAGCAACAAAAATACACCGATCTCGAGGCACAATCAAATTTGATTCAGACGAACCCACCTTGGTTTTTAACAAAGTGTTTAGGTTCCGCTGCTGCCTCAAGTTCCTTCCAGAACCGACACAGATTTGAGCATCGTAGTGTCCCCGGAAGTAATTGCCGTTGGTGTATTTTGCACAGACAATGAAATATGCCGTATCCGTTTCGATATCCACCTCGATTGGGACCTGGATGGTGGCCAGGATACGCGGAAACACATAATTCTCTACAACCACCTGAAGGGTTTTAATACTCGTAAAAACCTTTGC